ATTTTTAATTCACTTGAAAACATTTTCCAGCATTTCAGATTTAATTTGTCTGATGAGATGGAGTCAGATTGAGAACAGAGATGCAGGGAAGCAGGAAGAAAATCAGAACATAAAACCAAAGAGATATTAGACCATATGCATTAGTGAACCACAACAACAAGAAGGAAAAGAGTTACAACCCTAATGCCCTAAGAAGCAGTCTACCCAGAACACAGTTTGAAGGACCAAATCTTTGACTTTTGTGGGTTTTCCCAAAAAAATGTACATTTTAATAAATGGGTAATATATGACTACCTCTGAGCTTGTTGTTGTAAATGGGTTAAGAAATCAGGTATGTGGTCACAGAATATACTTTCCATCTCAGGGCTGGTCCAATTCACCTCTTGAGCATCCTAGGAAAAGGGTTTTTCCTAACTCTGCTAGCTGGGAGCTGAAGCAGTGGGGAATGTTTCTGAAAGTGCGTCCTCTTCAAAACCCCTTTTCATACATGGGGAAACTGAGGCAGGCAGTAAGATGACTTTTCCAAAATTAAATTACAAACTGAGTAAGCCCTCTTGCAGACTTATAAAATTGCAGTTCAACCATGCCAGCAGTCTCTGTATTTGCTGACCACTCCCAGTAGCACCACTGGAGAAGAAAGTGCCTTTTTTGGAATGGAAGTCACCAAGATCAAGCCAAAACTGAGCACCCAGAAACCAGCAGATCTGTGATGTCTTGTGCTGAACACCCTAAGCCATAGAATCACAGAATGGTTTGGGTTGGAAGGGACCTTAAAAAGCATCATCTTCCATGCCCTTCCATGGACAGGGACGCCTTTCACTAGTGGAGATTATTTCAAGCCCCATCCCATTTTGGCCTGGAACACTTCCAGAGATGGGGCAGCCACAGACCCTCTGGGAAATCTGTGCCAGGGCCTCACCACCATGACAGACAGGAATTTCTTCCCAGTATCCCATCCAACCCTGCCCTCTGTCAATGGGAAGCCATTCCCCCTTGTCTTGTCACCCCATGCCCTTGTCCAAAGTGCTTCTCCAGTCTCTTGGAGCCCCTTTAGGCACTGGAAGGGGCTCTAAGTTGTCCCCAGAGCCTCCTCTTCTCCAGGCTGAACAATTCCACCTCTCACAGTCTATCCCCAGAGTAGAGAGGGTCTGGTCCTCCTCATACTGTGCACCTTGGGATGGCTCCTCTCCACACTCTACAGAAAATCCTCCAGCGAAAGCTTTTTTGGGAATCTCCATGGGACTGTGGCACTGCTAGAGCTGGGATTTGAGCTCAGCACCTTCCCTCTCCACCCCACTGGCATCCCCAAGGACAGTGCATTCATTTGGTGAGGCACTGACCAAGCAATTCAGCCCAGGAGGGTGAAGGCTGATGGTTCCTGAGTGGCAGCTCATGCTGGGAGACACATAATAATGTCAGATCCACTGGTGGAGAGAGAGACTAAAAAATGGGAATGAATTGCTCTTCCCAGAGTCTGTTTTTATTCCCTGCTGCTGCCTGTTTCTGGACAACTTGCTGTTGCTGCATTTCAATTTAAGACTTATTAAAAAAATCCCTGGAAAGGGGCAAAATTGACTGACTTTGCCTTATTTCCAGCAGAAGAGATGAGATTTATTTTTAATCTACCTGTGTCTCTGCAATCATTACCTGCTTTCCAGCTGTGTTGCTAATGAGTGTCAGGACCATCATTTTGCTAATGGAGAAGCTGAGGCATGGGCAGTGGCTGTGACATTCCCCAGGACAGGGGTAGGGATTATTCCTGGGATCTGAAACCCCTTTATCTGGTTCCTGTGCTGCAGCCCCAAGCCAGTCACATGGAAATTGCACTTCATAGATAGCAGTCTTACTGCTTTTGCACACTTCTCTGTATGTGATTTTTCTTATGGGTAATTAGTATGGAAAAACAATTGCAGAACCAGAGGAGAGAGGCCATGGCCCGTGTGGCAAATGAGCATGAGCAGCAGACCTCCTGGTAAAGCAGAAAAACAGCATGGTTTAGATTGGTTTAGTAAGGAAGCGGGCTAAAAACTCCAACCAACATTTATGGATGCAGAAAACAGGAGGGTTTTCAGAAAAAAATAATCATTAGATAAAGTTCCACATGTTAGAAACTGGAATCAGGGCTGCTTGAACAAGGGTGGCTGGTTTTGCAGTCCTGTACCTCTTTAGCATAAAAGAGACTACAAGAAAGAAGGAGAGAGACTATTTACAAGGCAGTGTAGTGACAGAACAAAGAGGAATGGTTTCACACTGACAGGACAAGGGGGAATGGTTTCACACTAACAGAGGGCTGAGTTGGATGCCATATTGGGAAGAAATTCATGGCTGTGAGAGTGGTGAAGCCCTGGCAGAGATTTCCCAGAGAAGCTGCTGCTTGGAAGTGTTCCAGGCCAAAATGGATGGGGATTGGAGCCACCTGGTCTAGTGGAAAGAGTTGTAACACAATAATTTTTAAGGTCCCCTTCAATCCTGGTCATTCTATGAATTTATGTTTCTAAAATATTTCCAAATGGGTTCCGGGAAATTGTGCAGTCCTACCTCCAGTAAGCAGAATCCATAATTTCCAGAAGGAATTTACCTTCTGAGCAGTGAGCTGGAAGAGGTATCAGCTGCCACTTCAATCCTCTGTCAGTCATGTCATTGCCCTCCAATGCACAGAGCCAGGCTGTGGGCTGGCGGTGGCTCCTTGGTCAGGACTTACCAGCTGTGCTTACCCACGGAGGTCCTGGTTAGGAAGGTTGGGGTAGGAAGGTGAGGCCAGGCTGGGAAGGTCCTCTCCACACAGCCACCCCAAGATGGGGGGTTCCTAGGAATCAGGGAGCACATAAACCTGCAAGGAGAATTGTTTCACTCCTTTAGTGAAACGTGTTAGAGTAGGTGATGCTCAGGGTAAGGTGGGTGGATGTGTGAACATGCTGAAGAGAAGTGGGGTTTTTCTCTCTTTCAAAAAAGAAAAGAAACTTGGAAATGACAAGTGATTTTAAGAGATACTGCTATAGGTTGCAAATGCCTGTGTCTGAAATCTAGAAAAATGCTAAGTTGAGATTTAAGAGCTAATGCAACTACAGTTTTGCCAGTGGTGTGCCCAGCCCAACACTTCAGTCACACCACCTTCCCCACAATGCTTCTTCCTCATTTAATGCCCAGAAATTATTGGGGACAACCCAAGGCTCAGAGGAATTGCACAGGCTGATCATCCCAGCATCTCCATGCTTGGCTACAACATAAAAAATGTAGACTTTGCACCAAGCTTTCACTAACAGAACTAGACAGCCAGCCAGTGACAGTGAGAGGCAGCAGAACATGGGTGCAAGGTGCTGCAGTGGTACATTTTCATCATCCACAGGCAGCAGGGCGTGGGTTGTGCTGAGGTGCTGCTGCTCTGCTCATCTCTGACAAATATTGATATATTTAAACATAATCTGGACTAGAAAAACACAACCAGATGTTGCTGGCTCTTGGGTGACGGGATACCTGATAGCCATTCCCACTTGTGCAAGGACTGACATTTACCTTGTGACACCACCACACCTCCACCCCAGGGGCCTTTCAGAACAGATCATACTCTCCACAGCATGTTTATTAACCACCTCTCCACCCTATGCTCCAGCTGCACCAGGGATGACGCTGCCTCTTGGAAACTGGACCCACAGTGGGAGGCATGGCAAACACAGGGTCTGGGGGAGGCATGGCAAACACAGGGCCTGGAGAAAACAAATCACCACTTGACCAGAAAGAAATAGACCCCGAACTCCCAACAAAAGTTCAAATCAGTGTGATTTGGGGTAATCAGTGCCTTATGAGGAGTAAAAGACCTTTAAGACCCCCCTGCCCTGTAGTTGCCCATCTGAGGTTCTGTTTCATTTTGCTCAAAAGAAAGTGTAGGTGTGCTGTGGAGCCAGGCTGGCTTGGAGCAACCTGGTCTAGTGAAGGAAGTGCCATGGCAGGGGCTTGGAATGAGATGAGCTTTAAGGTCTCTTCCAACCCAAACTATCCCGTGATTCTATGATCGTCTTCCCCACCTTTTCTTCCCTATCTCTTCTACCTCCTTTCCACAGCAACCCTCTGCTTAGTCTATTCAGGAGCAGGAAGATGTTCATAACCAGATCTCCTCACAGACTGAGAATAAGAGAAACCTCCCAGAGCTCTGGCAGCTGGATTTGCAGTGGGTAGGCTGGAACCCAAACAAGCACCTAGGCATGATAGCTCTTTGTCACACCCACAGCAAACCAGCTCAACGATACTATTTGCTGAATATTTGATATTTTTGTAGAAATTGAAAGAAATAGGATTAATCTGACAACATCCATCCAGCTCTATCCCCACTAACAATAAAGGTGAAAACAAAGGATCACAGAATTGTTTAGGTTGGAAAAGCCCTCTGAGATCACTGAGTCAAACTGTTCCTCCAGCACTGCCAAGCCCACCACTAACCTGTGTCCCCAAGATCCACATCCACAAAGCTTCTGAATCCCTCCAGGAATGGGGACTCCACCACTGCCCACGACAGCCTGTGCCAGGGCTGTACAACCCTTTTGAGGAGATCCTTTTCCCTCATATCCAACCTGAACCTCCCCTGGCACAACTTGCTATTTGCTTTAAGTCAGAAATCTCCCAAAATGGTTAGTCAGGCCTGTGAACTGTGAGCCAAGGGTGCAGAGCCAGACAGGAAAAAGCAGGTGGACAAAGCAAATTCTACCATATAAAAGCATTGATGTGACTTGGGATGGGTATTCCAATGACCAGAAAACTTCTATTTGCGATAAACATCAGGATATGGCAAAATCATTGAGCACTGACTTTATCCTGAGGCAAACAACCTTCACAATTTGTACATTTGTGTATAAATTACTGCAATGAGGCAACACCACTGTGAACAGCTGTGCATTTATGCACGGAGAAGATGCACAGTTGTTGTGGTCGTAGACACAGAGATCCATTTTAAACAGACTCCCTGCTATATAAAGGGTGGCTCAACAGTTCCCCTTGACAGATGAAAGGAGAAAATATTCGCTGTCAAGCAACACCTGAGCAACTCAACAGGCAGAAATGGCTCCAGGTACTTTTTATTACAGTTTTAAAGGATTTGTCAGTGCTGCAATGTGTGTAGGGTGAGAGGAGATGATGATGGGGTGGTATGTGGTGGGATACACATGCTCTGTGACAGCCCTAACTTAAAGTATGGCAGTTTATAAACCAATGAAAAAGAATACCTTTCCCTGCAATGTGACTTTAATTCATGAATTAATCTTTACTCTAAATAGGCCATGTCCTACAGGCTCCAGGGCATTTCTCCTCCAAGGGGTATTTGTCTGAGATTAAGTTTGTGGTCTTCGCAGCAGACACTAGTGTGAGTCAGGTGTCAAAGGCTGAAAACATTTAAGGTTGACAAAGGTCACCAAATTCTGCAGTCATATCCCAGAGAGCCACTCAGAGCACAGGTAATGCCACCATCTCTCACCCAGTGAGGCAGACAGACAGCATCACATCAGCAGTACAGCCTAAACCATGGCTACAGCGAGGTGCTCCCAGGCCTTCACCTGGCACTCATCGTCTCCTGCTTGCTCATGTAACCAGAGTGCACCATGCTCTTTTCACATGGGCAAGGACTCATGAGAAAAGGAAAACCATGAGTGTATCAGGGAAAAACTTCGGGACACATACTAGTTTTCATGGAGCAGCCATGAGTGCACCCAGGAATACACTGCTGGTAACACTAGGAGAGGCACAAGCTCTTGGTGGGGGCAGGTCTTGGTGAAAGGGTTTCAAAGAATTTTGGAGAAGGCTAAGCTTACTCTTGGTGCCAAGAGGCACCAAGGAAGATGAGCCTTCAGACAGCATGGACAGAAGAGACTGCGAATTAATTCCCAGGTGCCACTCCCTCCTCAACCCAACCCAGTTTCCTGAGGATGGCTAACACTTTCTGCTGTGCTTTGCTGCAGGGTCATGGTTCTCTCCTCTCACCATTGCTGTGATCACTCTGGGACTGCAGTGGCCACAGCAAGCTGCCACCTTCCCTACCGTGCCCCTTTCCAGCCTGTTTGCCAACGCTGTGCTGAGGGCTCAGCACCTTCACCTCCTGGCTGCCGAGACATACAAGGAGTTTGTAAGTGCTGTGGTCTCTGGTAATCTCCTCTGCTTTGGTTTGATGGCTTCAGGACTGTGTAACAGACACCTTTCAACTATTGGTGTGTCCTTTGTCCTCTTTTGATGAGGAGAGAGGGTGTAAACAGGATAGCACAGGTTATGTCCCATCAGGCTGGACCCTGTTTCCTCCTCTTAGCCCTCTGCCCCCCTACTCTGATCCCGCTCATCCCCCCTTCTCAGGACTATGGCTGCACAGGATCAGCTGGGACATGGCACAGATATGTGACACGATTTTCCTGTGTTGGTCACTCTGGCCCTGGGAGAGTCTGAGTGCTTAAAACTATTTAGTTTCTTCTGCTGACAGGAGCTAGCATGAGCTGTCCTTTGGGGTCATTTTCTCCTTGGGAGAACCTAATTTAGATGTGGTTTCTGTTCACCTCAACACCTTGGCTTAGGAAGACCTTTAGGCCCAGTAGCCACTGTGCCAACACAATATTCCTACCTGCCAACCCTGTCCAAAGGCACCTTGTCATTTATTTCTTGCAAAGACTAACCATTCAGAACAGATTGGGAAGTGTCTGAGGTCTTCTCCAGAACATGGGCAATAGATCTGTGTGTGTTTGGGATGTCTCCATAGGAACGCACCTATATTCCAGAGGACCAAAGACACACAAACAAGAATTCCCAGGTAGCATTTTGTTACTCGGAAACCATCCCTGCTCCCGTGAAGAAGGATGATGCTCAGCAGAAATCAGTAAGTTTTTTTCACCCTCAGGGCAAGCACAGACCTGCCTGAAGAGCCCAGCTGTGCTTCACTGCAGGAACAGAGTGTTTTCATTTGTGAGCACTTGAGTGCTTCCTCCCTCTCCTCCCTTTTTGATTACTTGAACCCTGCATAAAGAAAGAAATACTTTTCTGGGCTACACTGTAAATCACATTCCCATCCCAAGCATGAGAAAAACTATGGTCTGCACAGGTCTGGGTGGTGCTCTTCAGCCTGAAAAATTTGTGTCTGCTGAAGCTGTAGGAGTGGTAGCATCTCCAGGTTTTCCAGAGGGAGGAGGACTTGCTATCAAATACCCCTGCACAGCTTTGAGCCTTTCTTATCCTAATTTCAGGACATGGAGCTTCTTCAGTTCTCCCTGATTCTCATCCAGTCCTGGCTGACCCCGGTGCAGTACCTAAGCAAGATGTTCACAAACAATCTGGTTTTTGGCACCTCAGACAGAGTGTATGAAAAACTAAAGGACCTGGAAGAAGGAATCCAAGCTCTGATGAGGGTAAGTTGCAGCATGTAGCATGACTATAGAATTAGACAGAATTAGATTAAATAGAGATCTCCCACACAGAGGGCCCTCAGCTCTCACGGATCCTTGAGATATCTCACCACCTTCCGCTCTGAAGATCAGTGATATCTTTAGGACTTTATTTACCTTTAGATAATGAGATCCTGATACTGCACATTGGGTTTCATCACTAGGGAGGATAAGAAAACACAGAACAGATGTTAACACCCATTGCAAAAGGATACTGCTCAGGAATCAGAACAATTCACCCACAAAGTCTTCCCAAACCCAGCAACAAAAAAATATTCAGTTGTGCTAAGAGTAAAATAATATTTGCTACCATCTCCATGCAAAATACTTCAAAATGTGGCAAATTTTGTGATTCACAACATTTTATAACAACATCTGTGTACAGATGGAAACCTGCACTCTGGTGTTTCTCTCATACACCAATACAGCATCCAGAGAGCTGAAAGCTGTGGGATGATCCTCTTCAAGGAGGAACTAATCACAGATTCACATAATGGTCTGGGTTGGAAGGCATCTTAAAGCTTATCTCCTTCCAACCCCACACCATGGGCAGGGACACCTTGAACTGGACCAGGTTGCTCCAAGCCCCATCCAGCCTGGCTTTGAACACTTTCAGGGATAGGGCAGCCACAGCTTCTCTGGACAACCTGTGCCAGGGCCTCACCATGCTCATATGGAAGAATTTCTTCCTAATACTTAATCTAACTCTCTCCTATTTTTGTAAAACCATTCCCCCTTGTCCTGTCTCTATCTGTCCATGTAAAAAGTCACTCTCTACCTTTGCTCTAAGTCCCCTTTATAATCAACTTCATTTTTGCTTTGTTGCTTTAAATGATTTTAATGTATTATCTGCCAGGACACCTTTTCAGTTATGTTTATTCTGTAATTAAGTTTATCTGGCAGGCTCACCCTGTAGCTGGAGCTCTGTGACCTGCAGCTGTGAGAAATGAGTCTGGAATATTGTTCACATCTTCCAGCATTAAAATGACTCTCAAAGTCAGACTCAGAGAGTAAACAGAGACTTCTGTCCTGGCACTTCAGCAGGAGAAAGTAGGGATAGGTATCAGTACCACATCCAGATTTTTGTGTGGGTGAGAAATTCTTTACTGTGAGGGTAGTAAGGCCATGGGACAGGTTGCCCTGAGAAGCTGTGGCTGTCCATCCCTAAAAGTGTTTAAGACCAGGTTAAAGGGGGCTTGGAGCAACCTGGTCTAGGGGAAGTTTCCTGGCCCATGGCAGGGAGGCTTCAAATGAGATGGTCTTTAAGGTCCCTTCCAACCCAAACCAGTTTGTGACTTCACAATTCTATGATTTTGGTCTCCGGCTTGGGCATTAGGGAATGGTACACAGAAACCAGCCAAACAATCATATTTCACCCATTTAAGGCTCCTTTTCCTTAACCAAAACTTACCTGTTTGTGGTAGCTGGTGATCACAGCAGGGCAGGAGGAGTGCAGCTCTCAGCTCCAGATGTACATGGCTTGGGTCTGGATTAGAGCTTTGTTTTCTCGCAAAGAGGGAAAAAAGAGAGAATTATTTGCCTGGTTCCATCTCCTTCACTGGAGGAGGTACAGAGTGACCCTGCAACTTACTCTTTATTTTAAAACCCCAAAGACACACTCCTCCCTCCCTGCAGCCCTGTGCCCACTCCCTTCTCACTGTAGCATCACTCCTGCATCACTGCTCTTCCTGCAAACACATACACTCAAAAATATGTTTGAAATATTCTTTAAGACTGGAGGGAGAAACCCCTGACCTCATTTAAAGTTCAGTGGGAACTGTGGCATGGGTCCTGTGGAAGATTGTAGAATCATTGAGGTTTGAAAAGACCTCAATGTCCAAGACTGACCACTTCCTTGTCAACCAGACCAGAGGACTGAATGCCATGTCCAGCCATTGCCTGAACACCTCCAGGGACAGTGACTTCACCACCTCCCTGTGCAGTCCCTTCCAATGTTTAACAATCCCTTCTGCAAAGAAATTCTTCCTGATGTTCAACCTGAAACACCTCTGGCACAGCTTGAGGTTGTGTCTTGTTGTCCTGTCACTTGTTCTGTCCTGTCACTTGTTCCCTGGGAGCAGAGCCTGACCCCTACCTGACTCCACGCTCCCATCAGGGAGTTATAGAGAGTGAGAAGGTCCACCCAGAGCCTTCTTTTCTCCAGTCTGAGCCTCCCCAGCTGCTCCTGGTGCTCTGTTCCCTTCTCTGGACATGCTCAAGCACCTCAATGTCTCTCCTGCCACGAGGGGCCCATAACTGCCCCCGGGACTGGAGGTACCCCAGCAGTGCCAGGGCCAGGGGGCTGTTACTGCCCTGGCCCTGCTGAACACACCATGGCTAACACCAGGCAGGTGCCACTGGCTCCTTGCCCACCTGAGCACACACGGGCTCATGTTCAGCCACTGGAAACCAGCACTCTCAGGGCCATTCCCAGCCACACTGCCCCAACCTGCATGAGGCTATTGTGGCCCATGTCCTTCCCAGGCCCCCAGCACCTCCCCCAGTACCTCCAAATCCTCTTGCAGGAGCTGCAGGACCGAGGCCCCCGGGGTCCCCAGATCCTCAAAGCCACGTACGAGAAATTTGACATCCACCTGCGCAGCGAGGACGCGCTACTGCAGAACTACGGCTTGCTCTCCTGCTTCAAGAAGGACCTGCACAAAGTGGAGACCTACCTGAAGGTGATGAAGTGCCGGCGCTATGGAGAGGGGAACTGCACCTTTTGAGCCCGGTGACAGTTCCCTTCCTGCTCCAGCCCCTTGCTGACCATGGCTGCCCTACTCCTCTGAAAGAAAACTGGAGAATAAACCTGCTACCCCATACTGCCAACATGTCTGCTTCTTGGGGTGGGACAGGCTTCTGTGAGGGGCTGGGAGGGAGGAGCAGCCAATGAGACAGGGTGGATTTGGGGCTTAGGATGTGTATTTGGGATTAAAGGAGCTTATTTGGAGCTTGGGGGGATAGGGGAAGCAGATTTATGGATAACTTTGTACTGGGGAGTAGGTTTGGGACTGTGGGTAGATTTGGAGCTGGGGAGGAATTTGGGAGTAGATTTGGGGCTGAAGTGTGGATTTGAGTCTGAGGAGGGTGGATTTGGAACTAGGGAGTGAAGATTTTGAGCTGGGGTATGGATTTGGTGCTGAGGATAGATTTGAGGAGGTGGGTTTTGGGTTGGAAGGGATGAAGTTGCTCCAAAACATGTGGAGCTAGTACTGATGGTTGGATTTAAGGCTTCAAGGAACAGAGTGCGATAAAGAAAAAAGTGCAAGAGAAGGTGGAATAGGCTTGTATCCCCAAAGAAGACTTTCCAGCGACATTTATTTGGAAAAAGTTCTGGGAAAAGGTCCTGCTGTATTTTATCTTTATTTTTCAGTATGAAGGTGGTGAAGACCTGTCAAAGGTACTCAGAGAAGTATGTAGGTAGTAGGTACTCAGATGGGGCTGTGACTGCCCCATCCCTGGAAGTGTTCACAGCCAGATTGGATGGGGCTTGAAGCAACCTGATCTGGTGGAAGGTGTTCCTTCCCAAGGCAGGGGGGTAGGATTGGACAATTCTTCTTAAGCCAGACCATTGTAGGATTCTATGCTGTGGTTCTATGAGTATGAAATAGTCTCTCTTGGTGATGGACATTCCATGCCCAGAGCCCCAGTCCTGCTCCAAGCTGTGACACATGAGCACTGCCACAGCCATGTCCCAGCTCTGCCTCCCCTGTTACCAGGTGATTACAGGCAGTCATTGTTCAGACCTGCTCACACATCCCATGTGTGTTCTGCTCCTTCTGGCCTTGCTGCTGGCAGTGGACCTGTGCCCAAGGCCCTCCTGGAAGCCCTTCCAGCACCCCTGCCCTCCCCATGGTGTCAGCTGCTGGGCTGCTGCCATGCTGGCCTGACCACTGTGCCCGCAGTGGACGGGATCTCACCATCTTGTGGGTACCCACCTACTGGGATACACAAGATAGATGATGGACTTTGGACCTGGTTGGCATAAGAGATGTGGTAAACAAAATGCCTTGGCAAGAACAGACAGCTTACAAGTTTGCAAGAAGATTTACCAGAAAAGAAAAATTACATCAAGCTCTGCAAGCAAGAGATGTTGTAAAATGTATAAGTTTGTTTATGTGATGATTAAACCAATCATTGTAGTGAAATATTACTAGCCTTCCTAAAATAGTATATAAGCATTTGTACTCCACAATAAATTCAGATTCTTTAACCATCTCAAAGTCTCTGATGCATGGACAGAAGACTCTTCAACTCATCAAAGTTGAAAAGAAGGGTGTTTATTGCAGCACACTGGACACATGTGAAATCATTTCCAAATACCTGTGCAAGGAGTCGCAGACTCCTGCTCTCTGTTTATACAGGAAAGGTTTTACATATCCAAGCAGTTTCTAAGGACACATAATACATTATCATTACCTGCCTGCTTTGTATTATTATCAACTGAATATCCATTACGGCTCCACAACTGTACTCCCTTAAATGGGTCGGTGGGATTTTAAAATAAGGGAGTGGGCGTATGGCAGGAAGAAAGCCATCTTCCTCATGCTGAACTCTTCACCCATGGCCAGCTGGCAGCACTTTTGATCTGCTGGTCACGGTCCAAGCCTCTCCTAACTGTTTGATTATTCTTAAGGCAAGGTGTTTCTATGGTCTCTGCTCCTTCACAATTGCTACATCTATCCCTGTCACTCCTAACTTCTCTCTCCTAATGTATTTGTTGCTCTTTAAAACTAAGGTACTTGATTCTTGCCATCTATATTCTTAACTCAGCTTCTTAACTAATTTTGAAATCCTAACTAAAATGTGCTATCTTCTACTATCCCAATTATATTCCCAGCTGGCCTCTCAACTCATCTACAGTTTCCAATTATCGTAAATATATTTTCAGCTGACCCCTTGACTCATCTTCCCAACCTCTCCAATCGTTGATATCCAGCGACCCACAGAGCCCCTTCAAATTCCTCTCCTTGGCTTGGTCTTGCTGGTAACTCCTCCTGGGACAGCTGGGAGAACCTGGCAGAAGACTTGGTAGTTCTGGGAGGCTTGTGCTGCACCACTAGGGAGAAACCAGGCTGGCCAAACCCTGCTTCTACCTCAGCAGCAGAATTTGCAGGGAAAAGGGTTTTCCTGAGGGGTGACAGTGTGACTAATTTCTTTGTGGAGATTTCACTGATGTCAGAGACTGAAATAATTCAGGCCTCAAACATTGATACAAAGTTTTGCTCATTGTAACAAAAACTCTATAAAGAGGCTAGAACCAAAGAAGCCTCCCTGATGATATCTGACTGGGACTTTCACCTGTAAGTTAAACCATTAAGACTAGATAAAGGCAAAACCCATTAGAACCAGGGTGATTGACATAGAACATTCTGGAATTATATATATTCAGAATATATATATATTCAGAATATAATGGGTGGATCTGGGTTGACAGACAGGAGATGGGAGGCAGCACAACTTGGATTGACAGGGCCATACAAGGAAAGGAGGGGAGGAACAGGGAGATGGATACACTGAGTGACAGCCAAGTGGCGGGAAAACTTGGGAATAAACAACTGGGCAGAAACCATCATGAGGGGATAAAATGGGGGTACATGGACCGAACCATTGTACTTAACAAACACTGAATAGTGTTTGTTAAGTACAATGGTTCGGTCCACAATAACTTTTACAATAAAACAACTGCAAAACTCATAAAAACACACTACCACCAGTATGTCACCACCCAAAGACAAGATGCCTTATCCCAGTCATTCCACTGGACCATAAGGAGGATGTTGTGAACAGCCACGTCCTGGAGACACACTCAGTTATTTCAGCCTCTTCATCATCCTTAGGGACAATGTATCCCCCTGCATGCAATTGTCCTGTTAGGGTTAGGGTTTTCCTGTGCTTGGTGAGAACATCCCCCATATCTGTCAGAGCCCTCATAGGCCTCACAGTCCCCATTGATGCAGGGTTTCTTCTCCTGGGGATTCCTCCTTGCTTTTGGAGGCTCTTACCCTAAGCTGTTATTTTTTTCTTGCACAATTAAATTATTTGAAGGATCCATATGTCTGGGACTGTGCTGTGGGAAACCAGGGATTGAGCCAGTAAGGAAACCCAGTCTGACTGTGAGTGCAGAAGGTGGAGCTGCCAAGGGGCCTCAGTCCCAGCTCAGGTGGTGCGAGTGTGACTGCCAGAGTGGGTCCTGGATGGTCCCACATGGAACAACAATCCTCAACAAGGGAACGACATGGAACATCAATCCTCAGCAATCTGCTGACCCTCACATGGGACCCTAGGCCATTACCTTTGGAGTCTCTTCTCCAAACACCTGACTCCCAGCACCACATTAGTTCACCTTGGAACTCTGAAGCGTGAAGGAGCCAAAGGATCCATGTTAGAATTCCTTGAGATTGACATTCCATCTGAATTACAAATGTCTGCTGCTATGTTTGTCGGGTGATTTTGGTCTCTCTGTTGGTGCAGCGGGTGAAATAGCTGGAGTGGGCTGAGTATGAGTGTGCAGCCTGGTCAGTGTAAAGCAGACAGGAGCCCTCCCAAAGCCTACAGGGCCTTGGATCCCCCAAAAAGGCAGGCAGGGCTTTGGGGTCTCTTGCAAATTGTTCAGCGGGGTGGGGTCCCCCATAAGCCTTGCAAGGGAGCCTTGTTGGTTTGGAGCCTCTTGTAAGGTGTGCAGGTGTGTACCTAGGCTTAAGCAGGAAGTCCATTACTCACTCATTTCTAAGGTTGGGAATGTGCCATAGCTCTACTATACAAATGCATGAAAGTAACTAAATTCTTTGTGATTTGGTTTTCTATTTGTAAACAACCAAAAAAACCAAAGGGGCCTTGCTTTTTTACAGCTTCAGAGTAGATCATATAATGTTGTGCTAACAGATGGAGCCCTGGCATTGTTTGGGGTTGGTGTGTGGATGTATTAAATTTATTCATATTTTGCTATTGTAGCAAGGCTTTGTCCTCCATTTTTTGTGCAATCCTTCATGCAATGCATACTTCATGTAAGATGCTTCCACACTTTTGTGTATGCTTCTCTGGGCCACAGGATGCCGACACTAGGGAGTTCAATTCCCTGGACATCAACATCTAAATATAAATTTAAATATTTGAGATTATCATCTCTGGCTCAGTTCTCTGGGACTTGATTCATACAAGCTATTTTTACCATTTCCCTTAGGATGAGTTGTGTTGTTTCCTGGAAGTGCTTGTTTCTCTCCTTTGGCTGTGAAGAAAGCTGGAGTGAACTTAGAAGAATCTGGATAAAATATGGCTCTGGTGATGCTTTCAGCTCTGGGTTGCCTTTACTCATGCATAGAACTATAGAACCATAGAATCACATAATTGTTTGGGTTGGCAGAGACCTTAAAGATCATCCTCTTCCAACCCCTGCCATGAGCAGGTGTGCTTCCACCAGACCAGTGTGCTCCAAGCCCCATCCAACCTGGTTTTGAACACTTCCAGGGATGGGGCAACCACAGCTTCTGTGGGCAGCCTGGGCCTGGGCCTCACTATCCTAAAAACTAAGAGTATTTTGCTTGTGCCCTATAATTGGTTGTGCCTATTAAAATATTGCATGTGTGCATTTGACTTCTTAACCAACCCTTCCAAGGACACTGGAAGGGACACTGGACCAACATCCTCAATTCAGTTTGGTGCAGCAGTTCTGATCCTGAGAAAATGTCCTCTCAAACCCTTGTTCCTCTTTGTAGTGGGTGACTTT